ACCAGATCCTTCACTACCAGATCCAGATCCAGAGCCTGGGGTAGAGCCGGAACCTGAAGCACCGCCTGGGGCGCCTGAGCCTTCACTGCCAGAACCTGAACCAGATCCTGAAGCACCACCTGGGGCGCCTGAGCCTTCACTGCCAGAACCTGACCCTGACCCTGAGCCTGGGGTAGAACCTGACCCTGAGCCACTTCCAGAACCTGACCCTGAAGCACCACCTGAACCTGAGCCTTCACTGCCAGAACCTGACCCTGACCCTGAGCCACTTCCAGAACCTGACCCTGAGCTTGAGCCACCACCTTGTTGAATCTGACCATCACCAATCTGGTTTACAATATCATCTCTCCTTCTTAATGCTCCTCCAGTCTCTGCGGATGTGCCAATGTCACTTTCTTGTGCTGGTACTGAAGCTGCATTACTTGCAGCAGGAGCAGCCGAAGCTCCAATATTAGCAGAGGCAGTTGGTGCAGGTACAGTACCACTGGCAGCTCCAGCAGCAGTAACTGAAGTTTCTGCTCCATCTGCGGCACCGGTAGGTGCTGCAGGTGCTGTGCTAGCTCCTGAACCTTTACCAAGTGTCTTAATGGATAAAGCAAACGAGCCATCATAGTTACTAGAAGCACTAGCACTATCTATAGTACCACTAGGAGTTAATGTTGACCATGGCTGAGATGGAACATATGCTGAATGTGTCAAGACAGCTAATGTAGTTAAAACTGATAATGAGAAAGTTAACTGCATGATATTTAAAAACTATAATTATCGTGAGTTAATTATAAAAAGATGAGACACCCTTAATAACTACTAGGATGTTAGCATAATTTATACTTTTCTTTGCTTCATTCATTCTGTATAGACAAGACATTGCCATGCTACTAATTCTAGTACCATTCACGTAGTGTTGACTAATACTGTTTTTAATTCCATATTAAGAAGGTTTGTAGATCACTAACACTGGGTTTTTCGCAACCTCGCTCAAAATTCGAAATGCTCATAATAGGCAAAAAAGCACTAATTCACGGTATGAAAAAAATACAAAAAGGTTAAGCAGCCATTGAAATTCTGACTTAAAATTGGATCTTTTATTGTAGAACAGGGGTGGTGTGGCATCCTCGGATAATTCAACATCACAGGTATTGTGATGTTATTGGTATTCAAACTCATTTTATATTTATGTTGTATCTATCACGGAAATGTAGCACTAACTAAGCCCGTCGATAACTAAGCCGGTCAGCATAGGGTCCTAGTGTTTTGGCTTTTATGAAATATTTCAGAATTTATGTAGGAACAACTGCCAAATCCTATTGTTGAAACAAATGGCACCAAAAAGAGGTAAAATAGCTGTCTAAATATCTTAACAATAGAATTACAATTTGTCGCACCTCTCTGGAAGATTTGTTGCACTTACTCATAGAACGGTCCTTTCAACTAAAAATGTAGGCGAAGCTCACGTCCTCACTTCTAGGCTATACAGCTTAGTTTGACATAGTTTTTATTTGTTTATAATACCTCGAGAATAAACGGTTAAACTCGTTTACATTTCAAAATCTAAATATTTACCGTTTAAATTCGCAATATTATTGTATAGCCTAGTTACCTTTATGTTGCAAATATGAGTATAAGCATCTATTCAGATGTTGAAGTATTGAACCTATGTATCCCCTACCTCAGAAAGAGGTAGGGGATCCGTCTCTGTGTCATGAAAAGCTGATTAAATATAACAACTAGCTTATATCCCCTAACAATTAGCGCATAAACTCTCGCCAAGTAGACTTTGAAATTCTAAAGGGTTGCACTGGGGAGTTCTTCTAGAAATGATCTGCAAATCTGTTTGGTAGAAATATTCCTAATCGAACAAAAGCAAAACAAGACAAACTTAAGATCTGAAAAAAAAAGCCTCCCATTTCTGGATCCACATACCTAATTAACGATCTCATAGCCATCCTGAGAGAAACACATGTAGATATGCTATGAACATCCGCTTTAGAATATGTCTGAGGCAACACATTCCGAATAGAAGTCCCTTAATAGTTGCTGTACATTGACGTGGGTTACAAACGTTCCCCTTTTCTGTTTACATATTTACGTCCCTTGAATACAGTCTTAGCCTATGCGACACGCTACCGATTTCTTCTGTACCTGAAATCGGGATCATGGCTATACTACTTTAAGATCTCGCCTGTTTCTATTAGGCCTTGAAAGTTCAAAAATTCAAATCAAGCAATACTATTTCTATAATGAGTGAATCCATGCTCGCCACTATTTACTCGAGGAAAATGAAAAGTTGGCTTTAGATAATGCAGCCTTGATATTGATTGCTTGCATAAACTAAGCATTAACCATATTTTCGAGAAGAGTCCTTTCTCTGGGTAAG